GATTGTGATTCCATTTTTACTATTCCTTTCGTATTCAGGTTTTCTTTATGTATGAATTGGAAGATTTTCTTTATATTTCTTCAACGAATTTGAACTTAGGTCTTTCTGTGCCCACTTTATTAATTAGTAATATAATGTTCAAATTATTTTTCTCAATGCTTGGAAATGTGAGCATTATTTTGACAATCTTCTTCGAGGTAAATCAAAATTGCCGTACTGGCCAGATACATGCGGGCAGCGGCCGGCAAAAGTTGGATAAAAATTCATATCTGTCGTGTTTTGCGGCCAGATAAATTACTATGTAAACTCATATCTGTCCTGTAATTTAAAAACGGAATGACCTTTTACTTCGAAATATGGGTACCAAGGAGGTAACTAATACAAGGTTTTATTTAAATTTCGATCTGGCTTGCAAATAGCTGTTTATTGAAAAAAAAAAAACAAAAGAACATTATACAAATTATTATTGTTGGTTATTAGTCATTGAACTTAAAAAGTAAAATTGTGTATTTGATTTCCGCGCATTCTTTAAGAAAAGTACTATACAAGCCTTGGCCACAACTAGGCATTGATGGACACACGTATGTGTGCCTCGGCTACGCCTCGGCCCACATTTGCACGTTCGTCCATCAATGCCTCAGTTACTGGCCGCTGCAGTAATGTACTATAGTTTTCTTATTATACATTTCAATTCAAATGTAATAAAATAAATTCATGTTCCTTTTTACCGAAAAACCTCATCGGTTTTTTAAATCTGTAAATGAATTCAACATTATTAAATATTTCTATTCCGTATATGAACAAAATTGAAAATGATAAAAAAGTATTCTTAAAAAAAACCTGTGTACACTAAAGTATTTCGTTTGCAGCGAGAGAGAGCAGCATGTGCAACAAATGTACGAAATACAAACGAGCGAGCCTGAAATATATTTGTGCAAGACTGCCGCTCAAAATTTAAAGGACAACATTTAATACTTTTTTAACATTTAATTTCTCGCTGCTATGAGTTTATGCATTGTGTATTTCTGCTATATTCTTATTATAAAAAATAAGAGAAATATTTAGATTGGGTAACTTTACATAGTTTTGTATTAGCGCCCAACTGGGGCCCAATGGGGACCGATATACTGCAATAAAAATCATGAGAAAACTACAAGATCCTACTATTAAAACATTATTCCTTATATAAGAATAAATTAATAATGGTCATTCTATAATCATTCACACAATAGTTTATTTATAATTATACCAGAGGAAGGATTTGTAAAAAAGTCGTTTGCTTTGGTACCTCTGTCTCATTCGTGTTTCAACCGTGAAGCAGTTGTGTTTGCATGGCTGTGTTTCAGTTTGAAGAGTGGAATATAGCAGTGAATTTACAGAGTACGGAGGCATAACACTTTATTTCTCAGGAAAAGCACCGTATGAGCGGTATCATGGGTGAAACGGTACACTCTGTTATGACCATGGTACCGCTCATATCTATAGACGACGTTTACCACTTTACATTAGGTGGGCCGTCATTTTGTTTGCCATTCAAAGTTGCATACAAAAATATTAATACATATATGACTTGCATATTCACCTTTTTTAAGGCTCAAAAATAGTCAAAACGCTTAATTCCTATCTTCACCGTTTCCCGTCATCACTCCCTGTACATTTTTTTTTAGTACAACCAAGAATGGCAAACAAGCTGACGGCTCACCTAATGGAAAGTGGTAACCGTCGCCTATAGACATGAGCAGTACCATGGACATAACAGAGTATACTGTTTCGCCCATGATACCCCCCATTCGTTGCCATTCCTGTGGACTCAGATGTTATTCCTCTGTACCCAGTAAATTCACGCCATATCCCACCCTTCAAACCGATACACAGCCATGCAAACACAACTGCTTCACGGTTGAAACACGAATGGGACAGAGGTACCCATGCAATCGACTTTTGTACAAATTTATACGTCTCAAGTTCGCAAAAGTATTATTAATCATGACTTTTTTAATATTAATATTTAAATGTTACTATTATATTACGGTACTGCGTTGATGGCTTGTTCCATTTGCGGTAAAGTTAAGCCTCATTTTGTTTCGGGGGACCATAGGCGGCAGGGGAAATCAGAGTCCGGCCGCGGGCGTTTATTATTCATGGCCGGTGGCCCGCGGATTTCATTACGGACGCGAGATGTGTCACCTTCACCTTGTTAGACGCTGACGCTGTTCTCATTTAAACTTTTATAATATTTCAATTATTTTCTTTTTTTGCATTTTTTAAGGTAACATCCGAAAATTTTGTATGTGATCTAACTATATAATTTCTAATAATACAATTTACTACTCACAACACCTGCAATGCCGCTGGTGTTGTGGGTGATCATGGGCGGCGGTACCATCAGGTGAGCTGCATGCTCGTTTGCTCCCTGTGTTGTAAAAAAAAAAGAATATATATATATATATATATATATATATATATATATATATATATATTAGCTTTTATATATTAGATTACATATATATACGTTATTATTTTTTTACAAAATCTATAGACGCTCTTTTTTCGTATTCTAAAGGTCGACTGGAAAAATCCCTTCAAGGATTAAGTCTACCTGTGTACATTTTTATAGTAAGCTAATATCTGTAAGTGAATATATAGAAGCGTATAAGTAAATAAATATATGTCACTGTCAAAGCCCGTACATTGTTAAATCTTGGGATTTACTAACATAAGTTGCCGAATGTCTGGATTTTATAATGAAAAGTTAATTTTCGGGCTTTGACTAAATCAAACTTCACCTAAACTTAAATAACCATACTGGGAGGAAAAGGGATTATTAGTGTTGTATATTTATATGTACACATTAAATAAATATTGTATTCCGTGACGGTATCTTTGAAATAAAGGCAGTGGGTATCTGGTAATCTTGACGTTTTACTATATGGTGACAGCGGGTGCTTAATTAAATTAATTTAATTAGTTGTTAGTGTGTAATTGTGATAAATACTTATCGATTCTAATTAAATAATTAGAGTGCATAAAAAGTAAAATATGGAGCATGCAAGACCGCCAACTGAGTTAATATTGGAAGGCGGACCATCAAAAGACACTGGGGTAGGAATCCACAACGATAATTTACCTATAGTGTCAGATAACCGGACACAGTCTAGGGTTGCTTCTCAAAGAGCACGGCAAAAATTTGCTGTATTTTTTAACAAGTCATAAGTAGCAAAGCAGATGTGTATTAAGTTTAGTTAATGTAGCATTAAGTTAGGTTTTCCCAAGAGATTATAGCATGAGGTTCTTCAAAAGGGGGGTAAAGAGGTTTCTTCAGGGTCGGCAACGCACGCGTAATACCTCTGGTATTGCAGGCGTACATAGGCTACGGTAACCGCTTACCATTAGGTGGGCTGTATGCTTGTTTGCCACCGCAGTGGTATAAAAAAAAAGTTAATATTTCAAATTGGTAATCTTTTGTTTCTATATTTATATCTAAAAAATATCAAAATTCTTCTTTATTTTTTTTTCTTTAAAAGTAATATATAGGTAATACAGTCAAAGGTAATACTGTACGGTATCGAATCAAAAGTTTTCATTTAAAAATATTTTCAATAGTATTGAAATATTAGACATTTAACAAAAATAGTTACAAAAGGTTAAATTAGTTCCATTAAAGATTTAAAATTATATGATTTTATTAAGTAATAGATTTAAGCATACTTCATTAAAATATTATGTATTTTGTAAACTTATTATATATTGTGGTGGTGGTATCTTATTATATTTCTGTTTTTTTTTTTTTTTTTGTAAGGGGAAGATATTGTGTATTTATATGTACACATAACATAAAATATTGTATTCCGTGACTTATATCATTAAAGGTATCTTTGAAATAAAGGCAGTGGGTATCTGGCATCTTGACGTTTTACTACAATTAGTAATCGAGTCTAACAGTCCCATTGTTATGTCATATATTATGACTATTTTTTACATTTACCACGTCTCTAATGCAAATAACTATGATCACGGAACATTTTTAATTTTTACCGTTGACACTTACATTTCAACCTGTAGTTTGCAAGACTCACTGGTCTTGCAATTCAGTAATAACAGGATTCAATAACAATAAATAATTATTTCAATTAAGTGATAGCTTTACAAATGACATAGCTAGTAGTTACTATATAATTCCCTCAGTGGATGTTGTTCTAGCAATTAATTACGTCACAACTTGTCATGTTGTCGTTGTGCGCTGTGACGGGCACAACTCCTACTTCTCGGCCGTGAATGCCCGTGACAAACGGCAAAGGCAGTGAGGCGCGACGAGTGACTGACGTGACGCTCCCATGCATGCTACTTGTACGACACCGATAATTCTGACACATAATAAATCTAAATATTATGTTAAAAATCAATGGAATGATTATAAAATTATTGTTACTGCATCTAATTAAAAACATAAATGAATGAGTAAATTAATTTTAGAGCAAAAGTTGCGAATACTTCGAAAACGAGAAAGTTCTCAGTTGGATTATTTTTTGTGTTTATATTATGCCTATTTGTGAATTATTACATTTAAAACTTACAAATTTCAGTATGTATTGAGATGACTTTTTTTTATACAACTTAGAATGGCAAACTAGCTGACGACTTACCTGATCGAGAGTGGTAACCGTCGCCCACCTACTATGGACATATCAAAGTATACTGTTTCGCCCATGTTATCCTTCATACGTTACTATCCCTGAAGACTAAGGCGTTATGCCTCTGTATTCTGTAATTTTATTGCCATATTACACCCTTCAAACTACAACACAGCCGTACAAATAGAACTGCTTCACGGTAGAAACATGATTGGGACAGAGGTGCCCTAGCAAATGACTTTTGTACAAAGTATCCCTCTGGTAATAGAAAAAAATTCATTGATTCTCTCTGAAGAAATACGTCTGTAATTAAATCAGCAAAGTAAAGTAATATATATATATATAAATAAGTAAACAATATCTCCACAGTGATGGATGCCCCGTGGGAGGTCCGAGTGCAGTCAAGTCACGGTGTAGCCGGCGGTGCGGCGTTGCTCACGTGCGCAGTGCCCGCCACAGTCAGGAGTCACGTCACAGTCACCAGGTGGTTCAAGGACGGAGCCGTGCTCGCTCCAATGGCGGCTGAAGCTGGTATGTTTATTTTTATACATCTACAGTTTGTTTGTAACACTTTATTGTATAGTAAAATTTAAAATTATAGGATACAGAGTGCTTAAGAAAAAGATGAGTACAATGATGGACTTCTCCCACAAAAGAAATTTCTTCCATCTTTTCGTCGTTTCGTCAACCTTTGAATGTTTGAAAAATAAGAAAATAATAGGAGATACAACTACAACATGAGCACAACATTGCTACTGGACAATATAAACAAAACCGTTTATCATTAGACGGGCTGTATGCTTGTTTGCCACCTTAGTGGTACAAAAAACAACATAAAATATCGAAATCCTATTTATCACATCTATAAGGACTATATCTATGCATAATATAAATATGGAGGTACATAAATGTCATACATAAAAATATAAGAGTACCAATAAACAATATCAGTATATAAATATAATAAATTTTTTTATGCAATTTAAAATTACAAACAAGCTGACGGCCAACCTGATGGAAAGTGGTAACCGTCGTCTATAGACATGAGCAGTGCAATGTACGTAATACTCGTAGAGTATACCGTTTCTCCCATGATACCTCCCATGCGTTGCTATACTAGATGATTCAGGTGTTATTCCTTTGTACCCTGTAAATGCACTGCCATATCCCATCCTTCGAATTGAAACATAGTCATGCAATATAACATATATATAAAAACATAACCAAACATACATACACACAATAAAACCTAGCACAGCCGATGATTCACGAATAAATCGTTTTGTTTAATTCCACTACCATTAATATATGTGTGATTGCCAACACTAATGTTAGCGGAATTAAACAAAGTAAACCAGAGGGAGACTTTGTACAAAAGTCGATTGCTTGGGTACCTCTGTCCCATTCGTGTTTCAACCGTGAAGCAGTAGTGTTTGCATGGCTGTGTATCGGTTTGAAGGGTAGGATATGGCGTGAATTTACTGGGTACAGAGGAATAACACCTGAGTCCTCAGGAATGACAACACATGGGGGGTATCATGGGCGAAACTGTATACTCTGTTATGTCCATGGTACTGCTCATGTCTATAGGCGACGGTTACCACTTTCCATCAGGTGGGCCGTCAGCTTGTTTGCCATTCTTTGTTGTATAAAAATAAAAAATAAATAAAATAAATATCCAGTGATATGGACTTCCGCAAGATAAAACCTAGTTCAGTAAGTAACAATAATAATACCTGAACTTTCTGGAACAGAATTTCTTTCTCTCTTTTTATTTAATGATAAAACTCAAATATAAGGTAGGATAATCGTCCACAGGATTGTGCTATACATCATACAGTAAGTATTTTCATTTCAGATTCAATGAACAATATTTGATAAGAATTAGAAGTGCAATTCTAAAGTCGAAATTAATCTCTTTCCGAAGCTCAACCGTCGATAATTGCTCGGGAGGGGCGAGAATTAAGATTTTTTTTGCGTTCGGAGCCACAAAGCGGCTGTCCGAGACAGAAACAAGAAAGCCTTCTTTATGAGCTTTAATTCTGACGATTAGATGGCGAAATTCGATTATGGTTTTCATTTCGGCAGAACGACTTTTCGATTACGTCTTCGAATAATAAGCAATAACTTCCTCTGTGGAAGCTATCAGTCGATTTTTTTGAACCATGAAGTTTTATCGCTTCGCTAACTGTTTTTTGTTCAGAGATAATTGGATAAGTGCATATGGACAGAAAGGTAATAAAACCTTTTAGAATTTTTTCCAACTATATCGAATTAATGATAAAGGAATGGTAGCCCTGTCTGCGCTAACGGTATACGTTGACGGTGCCCCAGTGAAGGATAATAGATAAGAATAAAAGGACAGGTTAATTAGTCCATCGTGATGAATACATCTGGAAGTCAGCACGATGGTTTCCAGGGAACAACGGGGAAGTCGACCTGATAGGGTATATTTTTACCAATGGGACTGATAGTCCACATTACTAACAATTCCTTTCCCCATTCCAACTATATTTACCACTAGCTTTTGCCCGCTACTTCGTACGAGTGGATTTTAGAAGTAGGAAAAGCAATTAAATAGACCACTTATTGATAACGTATTAAGATAAAACATTACCAGCTTTTAAGTTAGTTCTTCAAAAACATAACTGTGAACTGAAAACTCTTAGAACGTCTCTAAGGCCTAACTGCGGTTGCCAATTCGTATTCCAAGCATGGCAACTACTGGCAAAACCCTCAAATTGGATGCTTGTGTTCAGTAATGGACAGTCAAGGGCTGATATGATTAGAACGATATAAATAATCCAAATATGTGTGATAACCAATACACGTATGCACCTTTTTTTAAATATAACAAAATTGGCAAACAAAATCCCTTTTGGCGGTAAAAATCGCACCATCTGTCAGGTCACACTATGCAAGAAAAAACATGACAGATATAAATGACGTTTGACATGACAATTAGCGTGACAACAACTGTCAAATCGTGCGCGCCACTTTACTAAGATAGTGAATATTTAAAGATTTATAACTATACGGTTATGAGAGGTTTGTAGTTTTTTTTTTTTTATTCAAATCCTCAAAGGTAGTTTTTGCGTGAAAGAGTAACAAATATTCGTCCATCGTTACAAATTTTGGTCTTTATTATATTAATAGGGTAAAGGTGTTAGTAATATTTTATTGCATCTGTAATAAAACTTGTAGCATTAGATTATTGTAAAAGTTAAGTTAATAGCATCAATTTATGATTTTCCAATGTAATAAATATGAAAATAATAATACAATTTTAAATTTATTGATGGAATTTATAACATTTTTTTTTCACAATTTGATAAGAATGACAAGAATGAAAAGTGGTAAATGCGAAGACGATGTCAGGACCATATGTCAGGATAATGATGATGATATAGCCGTTAACTGCTCAATATAAGTTTCCCCTTTGAGGGGTTTTGTCAGTAGGTGTCATACTTAGCAGGCGGGTTGGCAACCGTAGTTAAGGATTTGATGATATTTTAAGAGGGACATTGCTGCTCGTCCTTCGACAATTATATGAACATTACCATGGATTGATAACCATGGTCTCGTGATCATTCTATGATCAGAATAAACTGTAACATTCATGGCATCTCGTACTCATGTGTTGTCATTCCTAAAGCATTATGTTTCCAAACATTGTAATTTTATTAACATTGAATTACGCAAATACAAATCTTAATCAATTTAAGAGATTAAATATAATGAAAAGTTGGAAATATGGGAACGCCAAACGAATTTACCAAGGCTGGCCCTCGTCGTAGCAACCATGTTAATTAACGTACGACTCCCACGGGACTCCCGGGTCACTGAGCAGTACTATAAGCGTCATTGCGGCGAACATAATACTATAATTATATTATAACTAACTATTTAACGCAGCTTTGCCTACATGACTTAGTATCTTCAATGTATATGAAAGAAAGGAACAAATAAAGAAATAATTTATTTAAAGAATCATGCGACTCACTCAACAGCACACCAAATAAGAATTAATAAAAAATAAAAATAAAACAATAATATACAAAATAAAAAGCGTCCACCGTTGTCTGCTCAATTGAAGACTTTTAGAAATAAACAGCAGGACTATTCTCAAATTTAATATCAATATTAATCCAATCTATTGCCAATGACAGTTTAGTACTGCCCCTAAAAAAAACAATTAGAAATGAGGTTAGAATTAGGACCAATTGGCAATAGTTTTTATTATCAAATTACATTTACACCAGAGGGATACTTTGTACAAAAGTCGTTTGCTTGGACACCTCTGTCCCATTCGTGTTTTTACCGTGAAGTAGTTGTGTTTCTATGACTGTGTTTCAGTTTGAAGGGTGAGATATGGCATGAATTTACAGGGTACAGAGGAATAACACCTTAGTCCTCAGTAATGGCAACGCATGGGGGGTATCATGATGATCAGTACACTCTGTTATGTCCATTTGCCATTCTAAGTTGTATAAAAAAAAAAAAAACACATGACCAACAATTAGTCCATTACCCTAAGGTTGTCTTGAAAAGATTGCTCTCAGCAATAAGACCGCCTTACTGTACTTATACAATTGTATCGTTATATTTATTAATTGTCTTGTTTTTTTTCCTATATTGTATAATGCAAATAAAGTATACTCATTTATTCATTCATTCAACAATATATGAAATTGACTTAATTTCATAATTTGTTTATATTTTCATATATTATTTATACTTCTTATATTATACAATACCAACACTGAACAGGTACTAACATTATCTTCCGTAGAGATAATAGTATTCAGATTTAAAACTTTCGATAGAAGTTGGGCTTCACTAATGCAAGTTTAATGTCCGCCTTTGATGCAGTTTCGAGGAATTACCGCTTTTCTCTTTAAGCAGATTTATTTAATGCTGAAAAGTACTTAATACCAGAAATAATAAACAACCGAAGGAGATTTAATATCTTAAAGTATAGAATATTTATTTAAATTAAATAAGAAATACAGTGTTTAGATATAATACAAAAGTCGCGGAAATTTATGAAGCTATTAAGTGTTATCCCCCGATAATGTGCCGTAAGGCGCCAAACGCCTCCTTCAGGAGGCTTACTCCTCCTTCCGGATAAAGTCGAAACAATTGCCACAGTGAGTTCATTAATTTCCTGTGACTTTTGTATATAGACATCGAAAAAAAAAATAAGCTTAAGTTTTAAAAAGAAATACAGTTACAAAATTTACAAAATCTGAGACACAGGGAAGAAAATGATTACTTGGTGATTAAAATTTCATACTGACAGGTTCAAAAGTTCTAAGTTTTTAAATAAAGATAAAATGATATTAAAAGAACCTTTCGCAGTCTATGTAATTATGAAAGTCTGTAAAGAAATTGGGATATTATCTACTCAGCTTCTACTATCGAACGGATGCCTGCCAGCTCTAAACCTACTTTACCGAATACAGTAGCCAAAGAAATGTTTTGTTTCTATTTTCGGTATAATTCAAATAAAAATGCATTGTGTCACTGCA